GTTTTTGAAAAAATAATATTACCAGCTATACATTTTTGAGAAAAAATATTGACAGAAATGAATTTTTGACAAAACAAAAAAATATTACCAGGAAAAAAAAAAGTTGTCGGCATTAAATGACCCATTGAGGTATATATGCCGTAAAACAAAACAAATCAAAAATCTATGATTTTGCTTTTGTTTACATATTCTGTAGAACCACATTTCAGTTTTTTCAAGTTTCCTCTTCATCATTGAGAAGATTGACCAACACTCACTGATATGCAGGAAGACATATCTCACGTAACATTTTAGTAGTCTGTTACTTTTTTTTTATGGCGAATATTTTCTGCTTAGCTTTTAGAATTCTTCTTTGGCTATCCAAATACCTTTTCCGATTTCAGTGTCCCATTTTCTTTTGTCTGTTAAAATTCTTCCCAGATGTTTCAATTTTGGTCTCTCCGATTCGCAATTCGCGCTTAGGGCTCATCCTTTTGCAAATAACCATGCATTCAGTTTTCCCTCTAATACCTCTAATCCCTCTAATCCGTTTAATCCATTCCCCTCGCTTTCCTTCACTAGCTTCTGTAGGAGTTTTTGTACTTTTCTTTCTTCTTACAGATTTTGTATTAGTGAACTAGTAAGCAAAAACAAGCGTTGCTTACTCTATAACAATTGTTCCATGTATGATAATTTTTTTAATGTCCTACTTAAAAAGAATAACAGGAATAGTCCAGCTCCAATAGTTAGCAACACGAAAAGAAAACAAATAAAGAAAAACTGCTATCATATGACCGAACCCATCACTACTCATCTCTCGTCAGAAATTGATCGACGAAATTAAAATATACACACCGACCAAAAAAAGGGGGGGTATGAAGAAAATATACACGAATTTAATATATTTATACCAGTATACTTATAAACAAATCCCATTCAATCCTAACAATCAGTTTTCATATGTGTTGTAGTATACCTACGGACTATAAAGGTATGTCCCCATTCACATAAATACAGTAGTAAATACTGTATGTTAGTCTGCAGTTGGAGATTCGTCTCCAGCTGTGCTGGTCAAACTCTATGCCTCCGGGCAGAGTGGATCCCCAGACGAGGCTGTCGAGAAACACCTACCCGACCCCGTTTTTTACGGGGTCTACGGGGAATTTTTGGCTGAGCCTACGGGCTCGGAAACACCACATTAAATTCGGCTTAGTGCCACATCTGACCGCGTGGGGCGGTTGGTAAATATCCTGCTGTTGGAGATTCATTGAAGAATTCACTTGACTCACTTCTAGCAGTTGACTACTATTTCTACGCGCCGCTGGCGCATCTTATATGTGTTGTTCTTGTCCTAAGTATTATCGTTCATTACCAACCTTTGTTTGATTATTCTATTCAGTAACCTTCCTTAGGTTACAACAATAGTTTTCTTTATTTTATATAAATTGTTTGAAAGATTTATGCAATTTTTAAAAGTGGGGCGCTAGTTTTTCGTGAATATGAAATGGTTGAATACTTGTCTATATTTTTGTGATGAGGTACTGGAACTATTTACAATATTTACATTTTTCGGCCTATTGTCCTCATCTTTATTGTCATATTCACAACATTTCTGTCGTTGTACGCTGCCGTCTACTTGAGGATCTGTCTATATTTCTGAGATGAGGTATTTAACTATTTACACTATTTACATCGTTCGGTATGTTGTCCTCGTCGTTATTACCCATATTCACGACGTTTCGACCGTTGTACGCTCCGACCTTCTTCAGGCAATATACGTTGGAATTCCGAAACGAACCCTTTATTTAATCTACTGGGGTAGATTGTTTATAAATCCCAAAAATTCATTCACTGATATCCTCAAGGACACGTGGCTCAGTGGACTTGACACAATGATTTATGAGTTCAATCCCTGCCCACAGCAGTGTGAACAAACAATATTGGGGAAATGAGTTACTAAAGGGGATATATCGAGAAAAGGCGTGGCACGTGGAACTAGAACAATTTATAATCTTGGTGGACCAAATTGCCATGTTGTAAAAGGTTGAATACTTATCAGGTAGAATTTATGCATTCACTGAATCAGCGTTTTGTCCCTTGAAACGGTTATTTTTTAATTAAATTTAATTATTTTTTTAATTAAATTTGATTATTTTTTAATTGAATTTAATTATTTTTTAATTAAATTTAATTATTTTTTCATCACATTTTCGGGAAATATAAATCCTTTTGGAACAGTTACTAAGTGTAATATAAGTTCTGTCAAACACGATTTCATCTAAATCCTCAATTTCCTGTTCTGTCATCGATTTACACAAATTCATTAGGTAGGTAATTCACAGTTTCCATCTGTCCCACTTGCCGGAGCTCAGATGTAGCACAAAGCCCAAAAGTATAGAGCAATCAGTGAGGATCGAACTCTGTACTCGTAATAGTTCTAGAGAGACAAGCTTGTTAACCATTACACCATGTCGAGGTGCCCAACAAGGCGATTTTTTAAGAGTAGCTTAGATGTGGCACAAGGCTGAAAAGTATGCGGCACCCAGTCAGAATCAAACTCATTACTCAGTCGTAATTGGTCGAGAGAGACAAGCTTGTTAACCATTACACAATATCGATGTGCCCAACAAGGATATGGCGATTTTTTTTAAAATATATATATATATATATATATATATATATTGTCAGGGGAAAGTGTCATGATGCCATTTCTAACCTTAGGTTCCTGAGCGGGACCCGGAAAGAAATGTATAAACGCCAGAAATCAAAGGAAATAATAATAATAATAATAATAATAATAATAATAATAATAATAATAATGATGATGATGATGTTCATAATAACCTAAAACATTAGACCTGAACCGAAGACTAGGAAAGGTATGTTCTATGATATCCCCACCCCTCAATCCTCTAGTGATATATATATATATATATATATATATATATATATATATATATATATATATATATATATATATATATATAAAGGATCAGGTTATATATATATATATATATATATATATATATATATATATATATATATATATATATAAAGGAGCGCTGACACTGCCAGAAACGTGAAACAGTCACCATGAAGTGTTGATTCCTATGTTCGCACTATATTTATAAACGCTACTTTTTTTTTTTGGGGGGTCATTATTTCACCCCAACCAAGGCAAAAAGTTACTAAGAGACAACTGAGTGTGAAGGAATTTCCGAATAAAGATTAAGGAACAAATAAAGAAGACAGAAGATGACGACTGACACTGCATTTTTTCATTTTGAAGATCAAACTTGACTGAAGAAATTTCCACAAGGGAGAAGTGCAAGAAAAGAAAACCTTAGCAAAGAACTTACGCTTCCATCAATTAATTTCAACTGTAAAATGATGAGATCTTGCTGCTTATATATATATATATATATATATATATATATATATATATATATATAATTATATATATATATATATATATATCATAATTATATATATATATATATATATATATATCATAATTAAGTAATTCATCGAGTCTAAACCTCAACAGAAAGCATTGGACGGCCGCTTCGTCCTATATTTGGGACTCATCAGGAGTGCGCATCCACTACCGAGAATTGAAACCCGAACACTTACGATAGGAGGCAAACGCAGATGAGTCCCAAATATAAGACGAAACGGCCGTCCAGTGCTTTCTGCATTCTGTTATGGTTTGTTTGAGTCTCGATGAATTACTTATTTATAATTATTTCAAATCCTCCCAATTATTTCATATATATATATATATATATATGTGTGTGTGTGTGTGTGTGTGTGTGTGTGTGTGTGTGTGTGTCTTTGTGTGTGTGTCTTTGTGGGTGTGTGTGAAAATATATAGAAAATAGGAAGGAACTGGTTAGTTAAATAATCCAAAGTCCCTTAGTATTTTGTTATTATTTTTAAAAAATAGTGCTCGATACAAAAGTAGAGCATAAATATAATTATTCATTTAAAAATATGATTCCAAAACGCTACATAAGAAGTCTCATGTTTCAAAACAAGAGCCGAAAACTTCAATATAATTATTTAAATTAAATTGAGTTAAAATAAGCTCTGTTCCATCTTCAAGCTAATTTTTTTTTTTTTTTTTTTTGGAATAAAGTATATCTGAAATTTACGTGTTTTAAAAATTGAAATCAAAATTTCCATGGTAACAGCTAGGGCGAATTGTTTAAATTGGGTAGGCGAGTGTTGGGTGTTAATAATAAGTATCAGTATAGAGTTACTTTCATAGATGTCAAGTCAGGGAAAGGTAGGGGTGTCTAAATTTTAAACGGAAGATGTATTAACCCTCGTCTAGTTTGCATGTCTATGGAGATTTATTTATTTATTTTATTTATTTATTTTTTTTGGAATCATATTTTTAAATAAATAATTATATATATATATATATATATATGCTCCTGAAAAAATTATTTCCGTTGAGCTCTCTGGCGAGGAATTGTGGGTTTGTAAATAGTGATTATTATGCAAGATAAATCGAATCGAGTTCTCTCAGTCACTGTGTTTTTAAGTAAAAATAAATAGGCTTAAATTCACCTTCATCTCTGCTGTGCGCCAATGGCTTAGTGCTAGAATCCAATTCGGGCGGGTTTCGATCCTAGCTAGAGGCAACCGGGCGTCTAGCCACACTGATGAGCTGTGATACAGGGAAATAGGAAATAGTCTGTCATGGATAACATATATAACATATATATATATATATATATATATATATATATATATATTATATATATATCGGAATCGATCGACGTCGGTCTCAGCCTGCGGCACCTTTGGAAAGTGCCAAAAAAACTATACCACGTGTTGACCCAAGCCTTGTGAGTTAAATTGAGTAAGCGGAACTCTTGTGGGACGTGTTAGAAGAAAGCCACAAATCATGGCCGACGGCTTGTTCAAATTGTTGATCCCGCTATATAACACGCTCTCTCCTAGAAACTGTAACTAAGGTCTGCTCAGCATCGTTGCAGTATAAAGCACAACTGATGGGCTTTGTTTTTTACTCTGCACTTTTCATCATTATTCTTTCTCTCTCTCTCTCTCTCTCTCTCTCTCTCTCTCTCTCTCTTATCACTACCTTTTCATTACTCTCTCACAATCCTTTTTCCTTTTTTTCTCTTAATTTTTCTTTTACACTTTTTCTTTGGTTTCTCCAGATTTGTTTATCAAAGCCTTCTCTCTCACACACACACTCTCTCTCCCATCTTTTTTCTCTCTCTCCCCTCTTTTTGCTCTCTCTCTTCTTCTTTTCCCTCTTTTCTCTTTCTCTTTCTTTCTCTTTCTCTCTTTCTCACACTCTTTGTCTCTCTTCCTTTTCTTCTTTCTGTCTCTCTCTTTTTCTTTTTCTCTCTCTCTCTTCCCTCTTTTTTCTTTCTGTCTCTTCCCTCTTTTCTCTCTATCTTTTCTCTCTCTTTTCTCTCTCTTCCCTTTTTTTTTCTCTCCCTTCCCTCTTTTCTCTCTCTTTCGCTCTTCCCTCTATTCTCTCTCTGTTCCCTCTTTTCTCTTTCTCTCCCTTCTCTCCCCTTTTTCGCGCTTTTCTCTCGCTTCCCTTTTCTCTCTTCTTTTCTCTCTCTCTCCCACTTTCTCTTTTTTCCCTGTCTTTAGCCCCTTCCGTTTCTTATCGCATCTACCACGAAGCAATTACTGCAAGGCAACTTAATATTTGTAGCCTCCTGTCTCATTACCTACCAATTTAGCACCAGCCTTCACTGCCTGTCGCGTAACCTTTGGCAGCAATGGCAACAGCAGCTACGGCAGCGACATCAACAATACGGCCTTTCTTCACTGCCTTATCTGTAAACGGATTCCAATTTTTCCCGCTCTTTTTAGATTCGGCTTCGTCCATTAATACGCATGCGTAATTTAATTTCTCCCTTTTCTAGATACCCAGACAGTAATTTTCGATCTGGATCTGATGTTAAAACCGCTTTTAATGCCTTTTGTTCACAAGTTGTTTTTTTTTTTCTTTTTTCATTAAAGATTCATATTCTGTCTGGATTTCTTCTCTAATTCGATTAATCTCTTATTCTGATATTCTAGAATCGTTTTTCACCTTTCTTTTCAAACCACAATTATTCAAATATCAGTGACAAATGTTTTGTTTTTTATTACTTATTCTCCGTTTATTTATTCATAGTCCATGTAGTTGATGATAGCAATCTTATGTTCTTTTCAGTTGGCCATATTTCCGTCTCTTGTCAGGCGATCTTAATTTTTTTAATGTTTTCTTAATGTACAAAAAGAGAATTAAAAGTGTCATTTGAAAATGACTGGAATAAAGAAATTGATGAAATGTTTTTAGCTTAGAAAACGAGGAAGATACAAAATAAATAACAGGAAAATGCACAAACTAACTCGTTAATTTGAAATAAACATACCATTTCGTTGTTTTCAATGAACTTTTCTAAAATTGCCTTTCCTCACAAAATACCGAAATAGAGTTGACTACAACTTTGAAGTTGCTTTATACAAATCTTTCGTCTTTACACCAGGGAATTTATTTTCGCAATAGAAGTCTCATGTTAGTTAGTTAGTTTTATACTTTTATATATATTTTCCGTGCTGAAAATTTCTCATTTGATGCTGTTTTCGCTTCCTTTCACGATTATTGATTCCTTTTGCTTATTGGCTCGACCGTAATCGATTCATAGCGACACACCATCCTGATGCTAATGGCTACGGTTTCTACGCCATCTTTCTCACTTTTCTCTCTCATTACCACATTTTTCTCCTTCTCGTATTCTCTGTATCTCTCTAATGGTTTCTTTCTCGCTCTCTGACATGTATACGCAAACTTACACCATAACACACACACACACACAAACACTTATATATATATATATATATATATATATATATATATATATATTGAGTCACAGAGGAGCGTTTCGGTTAGCAAGGTCTCTTTTACTGCTTTTAAACCACAATTCTCCATGATTTTCTCTCATACATTCATATCTGATTGATGCGTATCCAAATGTGAAAAAATGACGTCACATATTATGAAATGGACAAAGTCCGACAATTATTTTAAGACATTTTTTATGTTCATACGTTCTTTTTATAGATACAAATATTAAATTAAATGCTCTATTAAAAGCACGTCAGGCTATATGATGGTTCCGTATATATATATATATATTTTTTTTTTATATATATATATATATATATATATATATATATATATATATATATATATATATAATGGGAGGTTATAGTTGTTTCAACAAGAGAAAAGTGTATATTTTAGAGAGAAGGCCTAAACATTTTTTCTTTATGACGTGTATTCTTTTAAATATATATTATAGTTTATTTTCCAATTTTTTGCTACACAGATTTCCGGTTTCGCGACCTCCATCAGACAAAGAGTGGTTATTTCCACAATATTAAAAGAAATTAATTTTCCTTATGTTTATCCATTGTCTTTTGGATGTAGTAGTAATTCAATTTTTTTCTTGGAATTGCGGAGTCAACTCGGATCCATTATATTCACTTACGTACTAATACCCTTGGAAAAGGTATGTATCCTCTTATTCCCCCCCCCCGCCAGCTATGGGTAAATAGCAGGACAGAGTGGGTTCTATAGCCTAGTATATTTCTGGTCTAAAAGAAGGACAGCTCTGAATTCAAAACCAGCGGGGGGTCGTTTGGGGAGCTTGTGGTACGTTGTGCACCAGATCTCTGTATTCAGTGTGGCTGTTTTTGCTTTAACCACTTTAATCAAAGCATATGTCTGTTCCTAGGAATTGAATTACTTGATCCTCATACGTCGGAAAACCAATGGGAGAGTCCAGTATATATACTGAAGCTATATACATAAAACAGTTAAAAACTAACCTGAACAAAATAAACTACAAAATCTCCACAAATATTCTTAAATAATTAATAACAGAAGCCATTGGTTTATACCAACGGCTTCCCATACTTGATACTTCTCGTTTTCACTCTCGCGTGGCCATGTGTGACGTCACGACTTGCGATGCGATTTTCGCTTCCGCGTCTCGTATACACGAATTTGTCGTTGATTTGAAATTTTTCATGCAACAAAAACAGACTATCATTATTGTTTTGTCCGTGTATTGGTTGATATATTGCAAAGTAATTGTCATCTTTGATAATGGCTTATGTAAGCCATAAGCTTAGATTGGATTTAAACATGTATCAATATAGTGATTTACTTTCGTCTTTCAATGATAATGTTATTAAGCTTATCAGACAATATGAAAGGAAGTTACTTAATATAAATAGACAAAACTTGTTTGTATTATTTAATGAAACATGCATCAATATATATATATATATATATATATATATATATACTGGTCACTCCTGTCTTTTTCGACATTTGGGGGTCAAGTTAGCCCAGTTATTAGATCCGAACAGCCAGACTACTCACACCTGATTTGATTTTAATGGTGAAGGTTTGTGCAGAACCAACTGCACTTTGAAAAAGGCGAGGCGAGTACCTATTCAAATCGAGTTCATTACATCCATTTGCGCGCAAATATCTTCGGGAAAAGGTTTGAATCCACGTCTTCTCCCCCAGCTATAGGTTAATTATTAGAACTTGTACCAGTAAATCATTATTGTCTCTAAATATCCTTACAATCTAAAGACATTTCTGGCTTTAAATAACGTGAAAAACAAGTAAAAAAAAGCATAAGAACTTTTTATTATTAATTATCTGATATTATCAGATGCATAGAGACGCAATAAAGAAAGCATGAATAAAAGTGGCAACTGATTTTAATTACGCGTGTGTACATGCTTGTTTATATTTTGATTAGAATTAAGAAGCTGTGAAAAATATTACTATATTTCTACCAGCTTCTATTTAGGTGACGTTTATATCCTTATCGCTCGAGTTGCATTAAAAACGGAATAAAAAAAAAACTTTTATTTGTTTCAAGTCATTTAGTTTCAGCCACTATCCATCATGTCTACTCTGCCCTGTGCCGGGTCAGACAGCCATATTCTCTTTGCACGTGATCCACTCTTTTCAGGCACCAGTCAATTTGATTGATTGGCAAATGCGAGAAAAGAAAGGTGGGTTTTTTTTCCCTCAATATTAAAGATTAATGCTAACACTTAATTAAATGAAACATAAGCATAGAATGAACGTTTATATTTTAAACGATACCGACATTTTTAAGGCGAGCGGTCTAATGTTAACTGCGCACCTCTTAAGATAAACGTTTCTTTCAAAAACTATAAAAAGGAAAACATTAACTAGTAATTTACCTGGTTGAATGAAGACATATATATATGTGTGAATATAAATTGAACATTGAAGTTAACAGGCGAAAGACAGTTTCATGCTAGACGCAATCAGGACACAGGATTGCGTCTAGCATGAAACAGTAGCCACTGATTTCAATGTAGCCACTTTTAGATTTACAAACGCACTATCTCTGATATTGAGCACTTTATCCCATAAATATAACATATCTTAAAACTATAATTCTTTTTATATATATAGGAAGAAAGATGTATGACAAAGTGTAAAAAGTTTTCGAGTGACGTGTTTCGTACTTTACGACTTCGCCGGATTAACTTTGTGATGTAATGGAATAACCTGTCACCCCATGAGTGACTACACTATAGGTAGTAACTAACTATATGTAGCTGTAAGTTAACGGACTACGGAGTCTATCCGAAATCTTTTCGACTAGACGGTTGAACTCTCTGCCTCTGAGCAGAGAGGAACCCGGACGAGGCTTAACCGAAGGGTAGAGTCTCGTTCGGGGAGGTTGAACAACCCGATCCCGTTATGCGGGTTTTATGGGCATTTTTTTGGCCGAGCCTACGGGCTCGAAGAACCCACGTTAAACCCGGCCTTGTGCCACATGCAACCCTCGTGGTGGGGGTGGCTAAATGTCTACCCGAAAGAGCAGAGTTTCGGGGAGGTAGACTGTCCCGTTCCCGTTTATACAGGTTCTACGGGCATTTTTTGGCCGAGCCTACGGGCTCGGAGACCCACGTTAAACCCGGCCTTGTGCCACATCTACCCTCGCTAATAAATATTGACAAGTCGAAATCTTTTTCGGCTTGCTGTTCGAACTCTCTGCCTCTGTGCAGAGAGGAACCCGGCCGAGGCTCTGCCGAAGGGCAGAGTCTCGTTCGGGGAGGTATACCGACCTGATCCAGTTTATACGGGTTTTACGGGGATTTTTTGCCTTGTGCCACATCTACCCACGTAGAGGGTTAGTAAATACCGACTAGCTGAAATCTTTTCAGCTACAGAGTCGAACTCTCTACCTTCGGGCAGAGAGGAACACGGAGGGGGTTTCTGCGGCTAGGTAAACTGACACGATCACATTTATAAGTTTTCTACGGGGATTTTTTGGCCGAGCCTACGGACTCGGAAGACCCACGTTAAACTTAAACTCGGCCTTGTACCATATCTACCCTCGGGAGTGGGGGCTAGTAAATATTGACTAGCTGAAATCATTTCAGCTCTGAATGTCCCACGTTAAACTCGGCCTTGTGCCACATCTACCCTCGTGTTTGTGGGGGGGAGTAGTAAATACCGACTGAAATCTTTTTCAGCTATGATGGTCGAACACTCTGCCTTCGGGCAGAGAGGAACCCGGACGAGTCTATCTAGTAAATATTGACTAGCTGGAATCTGTTTCAGCTGTGATGTCGAATTTCCTGCCTTCGGACAGAGAGGAACCCGGACGAGGCTATGCCGAAA